ATTTAAAATTTTATAATGAATAAAATTAGTTTATATAATTATTATTCAAACACTTTAAAAATTAATTAAAAAAACAAGACGTAATAATTTATCAACTCTTAAAAAAACTTATAAAATATAAGAACTTATCAACTCTTTAAAATAAGTTTAGCCGATTGTGTATAGATTGTAATCGTGTTTGAATTTAAATGGCAAACCAACCAAAAAGAAAGTTGTCCACCTTCGTGACTTACATGTGGCGAAAGTTGGATAATTGGATATCAAAAATTATTGCATTTCATGAGTTGGTTTTTAGGAGAAGAATAATGACATATTGATATTTTATTTGAGGTTTATTGCTTATTAGTTGTTTAATGGGGCTATCATTTTATATGTAAAGAAATTAAGAAAATGTTTAATTAAACAATGGTATAGGTTGTCCTTAGAGAAAAAGAAAATGTAATATTGATGTTTGATGTGGCATAGTTTTATGAGTTGGTGTTTGGTTGAGGAGTAATTTGGCATGAATGAGATTATTAGGAAGCTTGACACATATGACTTTTTAAAGTTTCTTTTAAATACTAAACAAATATCTCTTTTTTTAAGTTTTTGGAAAGAAGCAATTATCTAATTCTAAACAATGTAAAAAAAATTGGTGGCCTTTTTCTTTAATGAAATTTTATTAAAAATCTCTCATAATAAAAATATTTTGGTAGGATATAATTGACTTTTTACTACAAGTTAATGGCACATAAGCTTTGGAGTTACAAACATACAAGTACACTAACTAAGTAGTCTACCAACAAATATTTAGTTTAATCTACATCCAACTATACAGATGCATTAAGTTCAGTTTCACTTTCGTGTAATAGCTCATAAATTAAACAAAAAATGTAAACTACACTAAATTAATCATGTGTGACAAATTTGATGAATAAAATGTTGACAAGGAGATTCGAACTTGAATTAAATTGATACCACACTTTCTTGATTTATCCACTATGTCATCCCTTACGAGACATATGTTTATATACTTGAATTAAGGTCTCGTTTATTGTCGTTGTTAAGTTATATTGACTAAGGTGGTGTTTGCAAATGATTATTTAAATCAGAAGTTAGTGATTATGATTTAATTTAGTTTTAAGTGTTTATTTCTAAAAGTTGGGGGTGTTTGCAAATATTCCGGAAAATGAACTAAAATTGAAAAAGCAGGGTTAGGGGGGCTTTTAAAAAAATAGCTTAAAGCAGATTATTTTAAGAGAAACAAAAGCAAAAGTTAATTTTGCAAACACCTGAAAACAGATTATGAGCAAAAAAAAGCTCATAATCACTTTCAAAAAGCATTTGCAAACACCACCTAAATAGTAAACACTAATAAAACTTTTTGTTGACAAGATTCATATTTTTAAGCGCGCTACAAAAAGATAAAGATCGTATCTAAATGCCACTATGTTATTAAATAGAACCACCCCGTGATTAATTTCACAGGGATAAAAAAAAAAAAATCATTTATTCTTCAAACAATATCTTAAGTTTGTTAAATAGTAGATCATGTTAGCACTCTCAGAAAGAATTGCATTTTCTTTTCAAAATTGAAAAACTAATTCAAATTTGTTTCCAAAAGTATTGAAAGAATTGGAATTTCGGATAGAAACAAAACACCCAGGTTTCAAAATCGAAAGTATTTGAATTGCAATCGGTGGAATCGAAAAATTCCTATTTATTTAGTCACCTAAAATACAAAATGCATCATAACTCCGACACTATAAGTGTAAATTTTGAGAAAATCAGAATTTTCGGATATTGAAATTGAACCAGAAATATTGCTGAATTACTCACAAGTTATTGAAACAAAAACAACCACATTCATGTATTGGCAATTGATATTTCCTTTTAACACTAGATAAACAGCTCCTCTACGGAATTTTTCAATTTTGAAACAATATTTTTTTAATTTCAACTTCCAAAATTCCGATTTCTATTTTTCTCGTTTTTCGATTCCAATCGCCAATATTGAAAAATTAAGGAAGAACGGTTAAATAACCAACAAAGATATTTCTGTTACAAGCAAAAACGTGAAACAAACATGATCTCGGTTTTATGAATAGTATAAAACTGGAAAGTGGGTTTGGAAATGAAACCAAACATCCCCATATCTTCCCAACTTTTTCTATATTTATTCCATAATAAAATTTAACAAAAAAAAAATTATAATACTTTTTTTCATATGCGAAGATTAGTACTTGAGATGGTGGCAATATTTAAGTTATGTGTCGTAATTGGCCTTTTTTCTATTCTAGTGGTTAAAGAACGACAACTTGATTACAGTAACATCAAGTTGGAAAGCTCGTTTTCGACGTTATCTTCTCGCTTGAGGTAAGAATACCGAATTCTCGGACCAATACCGTGTAGATATTTTATTGTATTATAAAACGGGAAATTAGCTGGAAGTCCCTCAAAAATATTGTTTATAGTTTTAAGGACATGCGAATTTTGCTTTATTAGTAAAAGTTCTTATGCCCTTTCTCGCATTGTAGATCTGACGTTTCTATAACGTAATTGCTAGGAAAACTAAGAGTAACGGTGACAGTGATATGCACAACTTAGTTATATTAATAAGCAACAACTTAGTTAAAATAAACTGAAGATAAAACTAAAGCAATAATAGATAAGAAACGGTGTTTGACGGAATCTGACCACAGTTAAGTTAGACGAGATGAAGGTGAGTCTGAAGAAGATAGAAACTTTTAGCAAATTGCAAAAGTACGGCTGTCCTGATCCGAACGAATATTAGTACCAAAGGGGTGTTGCTAATTCCCCCATTATAAAAACCACTATCAACTCAAACATTGTTGTATACCGATATTTGGTATACCGTAACTTTTGATACGCTATGGTTATTGTTCTCCTGTATTGAACCGAAGTTGCAAACAATATCATATAATGAACCGAATGCGACATTGTACCCAACTTTAGTATTTTGAGTAGAGTTTAAGAATTGTGGGAAGAAAGACAAAAAAAGAGACGACTGTTTCCATAATTGTATTTCTCAACAAAATGAAAGCAAAGTGACCAAATAACATAAATATTAATCTATGTTTACATGTCATGATTCATACAAATATCGACAACCTAACATGTGATGTGTGTTTTTCACTACCAAAACTTCAACTTAATACCAAAAAAGTCTGCAAATCCAACAGAAAGGGATAAAACGAACGCATAGGCAAACAAGATAGCTACAGCGAAGATTGATGATGCAGAGAGAGTATCAATAGACAAGTTCACCAATCCCGTGAGGACGTTCGCCTGCAAACGTGTAAAGAAAAAATCATGTCTAAGTTGCCTGATCGAACCAAAACATACTAATAATGGAAAATAAATAAGGATGCTTTTTTCATTTTTTTTTTCTAACCAGAAGAAAAGATGTCAATAAATTTCGATTAAATGCTTCTTCTAGAGCTGAGCTTTTACATCCCGATACATAATGGGAGAGCATCAAAATGGCTAGTACCTGAAAAATTAATCGGCATGGGCTAAGATCGTAAAATGGTAAAAGAACAAATCTAGGAGTGGTAAAATGCACCGAAAGAGTGTGTATATATATTTCAAGCTAATCCATATAAAACTGACCTTACCCGAGTGTAACAAGTAACAACAGGAAACATATGCACAAACATATTATGTACACTTAATAAAAACAACCACAGTGTAATAATTATGCAATTGAATCG